GGAGGCAGTATGACCTCTGAAACGTTGGTTAACATCGACCAGACTACACAGCGCAACAACCCAGAAGACAGAAATCTTCATACTCACCGCTGTGAGAACCTCAAATCTTACATGCTTTGTTCTGTTTACTGCAGGTTTTTGTAGCTTGATGTAAATTTTTTTACCAGTAAATATTGTAAGTAATTATTACTTGTTTATTTTCAGACAAATATGATAAGTTTGGAAGCCCTGCCAAAGATAATTGACACCACTCAGCTGACATCAGACTTGGAAGGCACTCTTCATTATGATCATTCTCAGTGGATTGATATAAGACTGGTGAGCAGTCATGTAGATGGTATAAAATGCTGTAAACAGAAATTGTAGTCAACTAGTATTTAATTTAATAGTATCATGTACTTCAAATTAAAAAAAAAATCACGCGTACAATTCATGCTTATTTTTAACGTGCAGTTCTAACAGTTTGTCCGAGGTGTCCGAAATATTCAGAATGTGGAGGTCTTGAGAAGTGTACTGGGTTGATTATTGGCATTTTTCACTCACAAAATTTACGTCAAATTCCTGTCAGGAAAGTAAATGAAGAAGAAAGAAAATACTTAGGAAAACCGATAGCTGTACAGGCACTGACACGAAGGTAATTGTAAATATCGTTTGAATTTTTTTGTGACCGTGTACAATTTTGTTTAAATAAATTGTTCAGTCACCTAAACACTTTTGCTGTCACAGCTCATAAAATTGAAATTTTGGCATTAAGCTTTTTTGTAGAGAAAATATAAAAAAAATACTATTTATTTTCAAACAATGAATTTACTCACTGTGCTGAATTTAATTTCTCCTACATACGTACTGTTACAACTTATTCAGTAACCGCCACGGTGGTCTAGCGGTTAGAACGCTGGCCTTGTAATCCGGGGGTCTCGGGTTCGATTCCCGGCGGTGCCCGAATTTACAACTTGTGTTGGGCAAGGCCGTGGTCCAGGTATCACAGAGTTTTCCTGGGGAGTACCTCTCAAGACCCATTGAACTACCTGTAATTTCATAAAAGAATTTGTGGTAAGATATGCTGTATTGTGTCAGACTAAAGTACTGTTTTATTTCTGTATACTTTACCATCATTGGGAAGCAATTTAGGTTATAGGTGATCTTCTTGTTGTAATATATGAATACAGGCTCTGGAGGACTTCATGTGGCAAGCCGCCGATCTGCTTGACCGCTTGGATGACCTCCAGGAGGATCTGAGTAGGAATGACTTTGCAGATGATGTCGCAGGTGCCAAGCATGGTATTGATCTGCATTGTGAAATGAAGAAGAAGATTATGAAGGCTCCAGTAGAGGATATTGACCATATTGGTCAGCGATTACTGCAGAGGTTCGTGCTTAGTGTTCGTTCTTATAAAGCCAGAGTCACTAATTCTTTCTTCTCCAGAAACTAAATACTTGTTTGTTGTCCAGATTATCAGGTGACTCAAACAGCGGCTATGACTCAGGGTACTCGGGACGGGACAGTGAGGCTAGTTCGGTAGTGGCCAACCCGGACCTGCAGGCATCAGTACCACAGATACTGCAGAACTTAGAAGCCATCCGTACATCCCAGCAACACCTTTTACAGTTGTGGCATCACAAAAAGCTTAAACTAGACCAGTGCTTCCAACTGCGGCTGTTTGAACAGGACTGTGAGAAGGTATGGACTTTTATCAGGGAGCGCCTAAACGCCTTTCCTGAGATCAGTAAAGTGGCCTGGAACTGAATCAATCTGTAAGATTTGAGGTTTTCAGGGCGGTGAGTATGAAGATTTCTGTCTTCTGGGTTGTTGCGCCGTGTAGTCTGGTCGACGTTAACCAACGTTTCAGAGGTCATACTGCCCCCGTCAACAGGGCGATGAATATCGACCAGACTACACAGTGCAACAACCCAGAAGACATAAATCTGAAACAATCTGCATGCTTGTGTATTAAAAGAGTCTGTCTTTTCCAGATGTTTGACTGGATTTGTCATAATCGTGATGTGTTCCTGATGAATTATGTGGAGATAGGGCATTCCTATCAGGTAGCGAAAGAACTTCAGGAAGAACACAACCATTTCACAATGAGTTCTAGAGTAAGTTCTGAATAAATGTTGTTTTAAGTTCTGGCACACATTTTAAAATATAATTCTTATTCTTTATGTAAGATGCTGATGGACTAAATTATGTTATCACTCGTTTTTCAGAATGTTTACGTTAATATCAACCGTATCTTGACAGTAGCGTCTCGACTGATCGAGAGCAATCATTATGCTGCCCAGCACATCCGAACGGTAGCTGCACGGCTTGACAGGACATGGAAAGAGTTTGCTGCTGGTCTAGATGAACGTACCTCTGTGTTGGCTCTCTCTGTCCTTTTTCATCACAAAGCAGAACAAGTGAGTTAGAGGCACTGCCCTGTTTGTTTGGTGCATTGCTGTTACTCTACATGGCAGTAATTCAGAAGCTTTTATAACTCCCTTATTAAACTGGATATCTTCTTCTTCTATGGCTCTCCGGTCCGTATTCGGTCCATGGCCTCCTCAATTCTCCTCTTCCATTCGGTCCTCTGTTAGGTCTGTCTGTCCGAGGCTTTGATCGAGGTTTTGAAACATCTTCCTTTTTACGGTGCAAGGTTGTTATCCTTGCGACCAACCCCAACCTGGAGGACCAGGGTACCTGTCTTAGTCTGACCTCTCCCCCTCGACCAACCCTACCAGTGGCTATGCTACCGCCAGCATAGCTCTTGGGGTCACTGAGGTACTCGAGCCCCATCACCACGACAAGGTGCAGGTAGAAACTGGATAATGTGAACCCCATTTAAAAATGTTTTTTCAGGAAATTTCTCTTTTATGTTTCTTTTTTTATTCCAGATAGAAACTTTACCTGTGTCATCCCCTTATAGATAAACTTTAACATGTTATTTTACAAATCATTGTATTCAAGATCATCTACACTCAGAAGACATATCTGTGCTTGTTTTGTTATTGAAACATGGAGAGTCGTCGTTTCTTAAACTCCATTCCTTTCAAGAAACAAGGCTAAAAATTACACAGCAACATTAGAAGAATTAAAACATTATACTCTGTGATATTTCACAGAAAGTTAAAGGTCGAAAAACTGAGCTAGTCCTAGTAACTTGCATTGGAATGATTACTTTGCTTACACACTGCATTCTCGATTGCTTTTCAGTATGTAGAAAATGTATCCAACTGGAACCTGGCTTGTGAAAATATGAGTATTCCTAGTGAAATAATGATATTAGAGACTGCAATTCATCAGCATCAGAATTTGTACGAGTCTATGTGTCAAGCATATACTGAAGTAAGTAGTGCATGCCACCTCAATATGTTAGTGTCTTAGAGTAGTCCGTCCTCACACTGTTTGCCTTAGTAACCCTTTTTTTTTGTAGAATTTTGTAAAAAAGAATAATTGTTATACTACTATTGTTTTAAAGAGAAGTAAATTAAGTAACATTAAAATGCAGTGTTCATTGGACGCAATGGCTTAATTTTATAGGACTTGATGATGCTTTTAGAATAATTCAGAGATTTATAATTTGAAGATATTTGTGTGTGGTTAAACACAAGTCTCATTTGTAAGTGTCACTATAAACATAAATGCACTAGGAATTATTTTACATACTCTTGGTTCATTGACGATATTAAGCGAGACTAGAATATCTGATGAACTATATACAGTTTTGAAATGCCATTGAAGTATCCTTATGAGTTTTGGCATTTTCGTGTATTTAAGTGGCACTCGTTGTCTCCCCCGTTTTGCACAATTTGTTTCACCTATGTTGAGTAATAATTACTTTCTTACCTACTAGTACCAGACCCATTCTTGAGAGTGCACCATTGTTTTATGTTATATGGATAATTTGTTACATTTTACTATAACCTGCTTTCTAAAGTAACAATCCACAGAACAAAGTTGTTATATTGTCACATTCCAAATTGTAACGCAGTGGTATTTTGTATGTACTTGTAGGACTGTTTGGTTCCAGATGGAAAATTATCACAGGCAAGCTGATAATTCTTCCTCTCTTATGTGTTACATCTTGTTCTTTTTTATCTATAATTAGCAGTATTAGGTAAAGTAAATTATTTTCCCAGTTTTTTTTGTTTTGTTTGCATAATGTAGGATCGTTATATCTTGGCACAAATCTGTACCTTTAAATTGCACCTATTTTGTTTTTGTGTTCTGTCACCACCTCACATTCCTTCCTTCTTTCCCTCCAACCGCTGCTCCCATACAGAAGGAATGGTGCCTTGCTTTGTTACTGCACCGAATGTTCCATCGTGTTGTACGATCCTCTACCCGTTTCCCTTCGTGGCATTGGGCTTTGCCTGAGTAGTCAGTTGATGTGGGTGCAATGCTCAGATTGTGTAGCCAGCCAACATTTCTGCTGCCGCCGCCGCCCGCCGCCACCGCCATGTCGGTAGTACCCGCTGTCTGTGTATGCGCACATGAGTGTATGTTTGTGTGTTTTGTTGTTCTTGCAGGTGTATAATTCGTACCAGGCTCTGCTCAATGGCCTTGATATCATGGTCCAAGTGTGCCACTGTTTCCCAGTGATGGGAACTGCCAGGGATTGTATTTTCAGCAATGATGTATGCCAGTATTTGATTTTATCATGATTATTTTACAAACAGTTGTTGGGTTTCTAATCCCCTTCCCTATCTTTCTTACAGTTTTCAGTTTGGTGGTAATAATTTGGGATGTGATGGAATGTTGTGGTGTTTTGGGCAGTGGGTTGTATTTCTTATACCCTGGCAGGCCTGATCTGAATAAAAATAGAAAATTTCACAGCCTTGTAAAGTTCATAATTCAGATATGATAGATGTCATCCATAAATTGTACCGTACATAATGGTACACGTAGAAGGACATATGTTTCTATTTGAAGTCTGATGGCATAAGGAAGCACAAATGTACATTGTCTGGAACCTGCAGAAATTCATGTTTCTGCACTGTTTTTTTTTTCAATGATAATTCTGTCTCACATTCTTTTATTTAAATTAGTTTATTTTGGATGAAATTTAATTTTGTGCAGTATTGTCGTGAGAACTGAATGTATCAGTTCTCTGTCGGTTGCCAAGCGCAGAATGCATTACCCTAATAGATTACTCACCAAGGTGAATGAAATCTGTAAAATGTAGAATTTCTTTATTTCTTTTAGAGAAAGTATTAAAATTACGAGTGGCTATCTCATTTCTACAACAGTAGTGTGTCATTATTATGATGATTCCATTTTGGAATGATGATTTTGACATCTGCAAACTGACAAAATAAATTTGTGAATTATGAAGCTTTGCATCAATAAAAATAATACAATTTTTTGAGCTGCTATTTGTTTTGATCTGAGCATCATACGCACTCAAACAGTGTCGACAGGGGCTTAGGCCAATGAGAGAGCCATGTATAAATCTTAAAACCTAAAAACCCAGGACCACTGCATAAAACTTCATAAGCTAATCCTTTCTCTGTTACTGGTGATGGAGAGTGTAGAGAGATTGATTATAGGACAGTTTACTAATGAGGTGTTGGGTCCTCCACAGGTTCATAGTACTAGCAAAAAACTGCTCTATCAACTTGATCATCTGGTTCAGATCTGTAATCAGCCCGGGATGGAACATACTGCTCGGAAACACGTAGGCAAATCTTTCTGTCTCTCTTTTTTGGATGAGAAGACCATGGCATATGGAAATATCACCTGTATGATAAGTTTTATTGGTCCTACTGCTGGGCTGACTTTATGTCTCTGCAGGGAATTCATGGTATTAATGAACTAATTCTAGGCTCTTATGTAATATTGATTTTTAATGCTATCTCTCACATACAGGTGGAAGCAGTATGTTTCGTGCTTTGGTCTTGTCATTAACACTGGGATCTATTTATAAATATTTTCTTTATTTTCTTTTAAAGGGGATTCAGATAGTCAGTATGCATCATAGTCTGTTCTGCCATATTTATACAAAATTTTTAACTTACTGTAAAATGGTCATTGCTTGATTCATCCTCAATTTTACAAATTTCCGAAGTGATGAAAGCATTAAAAAGATTTGTTCCTAGTCTACAAGAGTGTATCCTATACAAGACTGCAAGTTAGAGTGTAAGTGATAAGACTTTTACTAACTTTATCATACTATACTACATATTTAAATTATTGTACTTATTTACAAAATGAAGAATAATGTACTTTCATTCAGTTATATTTATCTCTTTCCAAAAATTTGGTTTTTCCTAATAAATGTTTCTCCCAAGAAACTCAATAATTTTTCATAATAAAATTTGTAACATTTCATTTAAAGTAATATACAAATTCAAAACTACATGTTTGATGGATGTGTGTGAAGGGGATTAAGTTGAATAACTGCAAGCACAGAATTACTCACAAACGTGAGCATGAAGTATTAGCTTCGTGATCAATTTAACTTAATTGCCATAAATCATTTTCTAATGGTTGTTTCTATAGAATTTTAAAATGTATTTCAATGACAACCACTGTTTGCATATTGCTGGTGGGGAGAACTGTATGTTGAAGATAATGAATGCCAATAAATTTTATTAAAAGTTTATAATAATGATGAAGTTGGTAGTAATAATATTGCAGGCACAACATAAATAATACAGTTAACTCATTGCATTCAAGAACTGTGCAAGTCCCGCTGGTCTCTGGTGAATTTTTAAATACAGCGATTCCCAACCGAGAACAGAAACAACATATAAAGTCACAATAAAGAAGACTTTCTTATGGAAGATTATTAATTAATTTAAAAAATGACTGGTTCTTACCTTCACTTTCTGAAAATTTGTGCCTTATTTTAGAACACACAAGTCCCAATAATGAATCATCCAAAACCAGATTTTTATATCCTGAAAAATAGTGATTTTGACTTATGTTGTTTCTGAAATCAGTGATTCAATTGTAATTTTCTTCATTCATTCTGAGGTCTTAATCCCCTTTTCATTTTGTTGGAAGCAGAGAGAAAGAGAGTGAGTTTTATTTTTTATTTATTTTAAAAGTATAGTCCAGAAGCTTCTATATAGGAGAGCAGTGTTTTAGTTAACTTTGTTTGTTAGTATTAAGTAGCCCATGTTTGTCAATACTCATACTAATAAGAAACTGCTGTGAAAAAACATGTGTAAAATAAGTGCCTTTAATTGATACAGAAATGGCATAGCATGAAAGTAAATGTTAAAAGTTTGTTCAAGTAAGCATTAGTATAATTTTAATATAAACCCAACCAAAAAACTAGTATAAGCTTAGTCTAAAGTTTTATGACGAAATTTTGTTATTAAACTGACACATTTTGGAAATTGACTTTTCTTCTAATAGCAAGTTTTGGAAGCTGTTATCTCCTTCCATTATCAGACAATAGTGTGAATCCTACTCTGTTGAGTACACTACATCACTGAAACCAGAGATTGAGGTTAGGTTCATCCATGGGACCTAACAGATTAGTCAGCAGAAATATGTTTTTAACAAAAAAAACTTTGAATGATTAAATTGACAAAAATATGTGTCACTTCAATATATACACATTTCATAGCTGTGTTTTCAGACAGCGTTAAAATAACTTAACACTTCATGTTTATATTTATAAATTATGTCTAGTGAGAAATGGAAACAGCACTTACCTGTTAGAACAAGGGTTCACAGAGGCATTGACAGAAGGAAAATATAACTTACTTAAAACTTCTTAAATGAAACAATGTAGAAGTAAACAAAGACTTCGTACATATGGAAGGAATTTACTGTTACAAATTAAATATTTGTTGATTTCCTTCCAACATCATTTCTATGGACCCATGCTCTGGTAAGTAAGGGTGTACTCCTTTCATCCTTACATCCTAGTTATTCATCTTTACTGAGGGTCCCTATTTGCTGCGAATGGTACAAATTTGTAAGCAGATTTGATTCTAACAAAATTAGGACAGAGCAATATAGTAAAATCAGAAATCCTTTTGTGTGTCCACTTGTTTTCTTTCTCTAATTTATTTATCGCAATTTTCTGATAGATTTAAACTGTACCGAAACATTCAAAGAAATTATTTTAAGAACAATACCTGAAGACATTTGCATACAACAGATTTTTAACACTTGAATGTTGCGCTTTTTTTGTTTAAGAACTCGAGAAGAAAGCCAAAGGGTCACACATCAGTAAGTGTGGGTTTTCGTCTGTCATGTTGGTAGTTCTCATCTCTTTGAATAGGACAAACCGTATATGCATTACTCTTCTGTCTGAGGTTGTGTTAGAATTTACTAAATATTCTGTGCACTGTTGCACTTCATTATGAAGGAGCATCGAAAGAATACTGATTTCTCTTTTCTACTTCTGTTACTGTACCTATTCATTGTGGCCGTAGATCGTCTGCCAAATGTTGCAACTGTAAAAAAATATCATCCATCGTATTTCTGATGGTCCTTTCATATCATTATATTAGTCTAATACTATTATTACACTATTAACTTAAGTGTAGATATTTAGTTTATAACCTCTTTAGTTTTATTATGTACTTACATGAATGGTGTTGTAGAGATATTAAGGGTTGTAATACTTCTGAGTAGTTTGCTGTGTGATGTAGGTCTAATACTTGTTCCTCTCTCTGTTAAATAGATTCTTGTGCAATTTAATGAAAAGTACAATAATATGTCCTAGAAGTCTGGATTTTAACATTTAAAATAAAAATGTGGGGCCCGCAGTGGCCGCACGTTCCGAGGCGCGGACCTTGTGCCGCTTGGTCGCAGGGACCGTGGGTTCGAATCCCACTCAAGCCATGGATGTTTTTCTGTGTTGTGTTGTCCTGTGTACAGGCAGAGGCCTTGTGACGGGCCGATCCCTCGTCCAAGGAGTCCTACCGAATGTCCATAGATCGAGCCAACTGAAAAGTTGGGGACCCGTAAACGGTACCGGAAAATGTTCAAACATTGTTAAACCGGAAAAAGAAGAAGAAAACAAAAATGCTTCTTTTATTAATTGCTTGAACATGAGTTAATAACATTCCAGAATAAATTCTGCTGGGGAATAATTCAAAGGAGTGGGGTTGACACGATGAATTTATCACTAACGAGGTATAAGTATGTAGTTTAGGTTAGGATGAGATTTTATGAGATATAATAACTGCTGTTTATGCTTCCCAAAATGTTTATACCACTAGTTTTTATTTCATTAATCTTTCAGATTTTATCTGAAACCCATTTCCGTTTGTCGAACATTTAATAATGTAAATATATAAAATAATTGGGACTTCAAGTAAATCAACAGCACTTTTTGATTGAAGGGGTATGAACATTTATTTTTTGGCATACAGTTTTTAATATTTCTTCGCATCAAACTGTACTTTCTATGTCTTCAATATTAGATAACTGTAACTCAGGGACACATACCCCTGAAACAACGTAAGATTGGAATTTGCAAAGTTCAGAATATTTTTTTTTCCATTACTTTTGCGATATAATTTTGATGTTGGACAACCTATTATTCATCTTCTCTTAGGGTTTTAAAAATATGCTTTCCATGATAATTTCTGGGGGATTGTTATTTCTACATTTTCGTAGTATTTTTTCATGTCTATCACTGTACTCTTTACTTCCATTTGTTTTCGTAGATTCTTTCATTTAATATTTTGTCTCACAGTTGGTCGTCTTGCTAATCTCAGAATCTTCATTCCTGATCTTTATATTCTTTTTCTTCCTTTATTAACACCATTGTTTCACTGCTGTACGTCAGGGTTGGTTTGGAAAGAGCATTAGGCATTCTTATATTTACTTCTCCTTCTCTTTCCAAAATTCTTGTAATATGTCCATTTAATCTGTTGTACTTCTCTATATTTTCATCTCAATCAGTATAATTATTTGTCTTAGATAATTGAAACAATTTATCAGCTCTGATAAATTTTTGTATTATTATCTTTAACCTCCTTATATTTTACCCCCTGTTGTCATATCTTCAGTTTTATTTATTGATATTTTATATATTTTTTAAAGAGTTAAAATGAAAACTTTAAAAATATTGCTTACAAAGTTCTTCACATTTCGTGTGAAGTTCTATAATATGACGTGCAATTTGACACTTAAAAATTATCAATATTACTAACACAGAATCAATATGGAATCTGCTTGTGTTGTTTTTTATTCTTTTACATTTAATATTCAGATGACTATAAACCTACAGTTTTATAAGGCGAAGCTTTTATGAGCTGTATTTGTTTAAAGATTGAAAATTAACGCAACTCTTTTCTCAGAATCACTAATGATTTTCTATTCTGGCAGATTCCAGAAAATTGTAAAAACCTTTCGTGTACATCCGTTTTAGGTCACGGTAGACGGACAGCTTGTGTACGAAGCGACAGGCCGTCAAACGGGCAATCCTGCCGCAGACTACTCTGAGGGAGCCAGCCATGTTCTGGCGGTGATACATCAGATTCTGAACCACCATCGAACCCTTGAACAGAAGTGGCATGGCAAGAAAATCAAGCTTCATCAGCGACTGGCACTCCGTCTGTTCCAGGAGGATGTGAAGCAGGTGTGAGCTTGTTCCCATCTTCCCCAAATTTAATTGATTTTTTGGTTAAAATTTCTTGACATATTCTATGAAAGATGATTGATATTACCTTCAATTGAAATGAATCAATCTTATTCTTAAATTTCTTGTCCTAATTCAGGTACTGGATTGGCTAGCAAACCACGGCGAAGTTTTCTTGAGGAAGAACGTCGGAATCGGGAGAAATCTACAGAAAGCACGAGTGTACCAAAAGAGCCACGAACACTTTGAGAATGTCGCCCAGGTAAGGTATCCATGTTCTTTTATTTGGCTTCTGTAAATAATCTGCTGTTTTTTTGGAGGGCTTACAAATTAAATTCCAAAGTGTCGTAGAAATTAGAGGAGGTGAAGTTAGCGTGTGGTACGGAATTTGTTGTAATGTTTTTGTGTGCATCCGAACATCCAAGCTGCATCTTCTTCTTCTATGGCTCTCCGGTCCGTATTCGGTCCACGGCCTCCTCAATCCTCCTCTTCCATCCGGTCCTCTGTTAGGTCTGTCTGTCCGAGGT